AACACAACACACACACGCACACACCACACACACACACACACACACACACACACACACACTCACACACACACACACACACCCAAACACAAACGCATCTTTCGTCTCACACACTCTCTCACTCTCTCACTCTCTCCACTCTCTCACCCCTCCATGCCACACGGACACACCGCAACCACTGCCACCACAATCATGCACGGATAGCATGTGCACGTACTTGAGGAGCCTGGCCTGGAGCTGCATCTTCTTGGATCGCACGAAAAGCTGGGCCAGCGGTTCAATGGCAAGGACAACAAAGAAGAATGGCTGCCAACGGAAGACACGCGGTTGCAGGAAACACGCATGGACGCTAAACGCAGCTACTACCACCGCACTCTCCAGCTCATGCCTGGCAAGACCACTGACCGCACCTTGTCGCACAAGCTCGTCAAAGTGAAGAGGAAGGAGCAGCGAGGTTTGGCCGACCGTTTTGTCTCATTGTTCAACTCCAATGGTGACGCTGTGACGTGGCAGGACAAAGACAATCGACACACACGGCTCACACCAGGCCAAGCACACATACACATCTTCAGCGATTTCAAAACAGATGGCAGTGCTCTGTCAGGCAATGCGACGCGCTGTTTCGTGCGCCACTGCTTCAAATTAAGCAGCAACAACGACGACAACACCACCGCCACCGGCACCACCGGCACCAGCAGTACCAGCAGCACCAGCACCAGCACCAGCACCAGCAACAGCAGCACCAACAAAGGCAGGGGCAAAGGTGCCATGCGTGTGCTGAAGGCGCTTCTTCGCACCATCCCGGCACAGACCCTGTGCCAGTTCCTGTTTGGAGACACACAGTTTGCAAGGCAGCTCACTGGGCAAAACGTCCTCCAGCTCCTGAACGCTACCGACAATGAGAGCATTCAGAAGCAGCTTGGCTCAAGTGCCACAAGCTCGCACACCCGTCTGGCCTTGCAGGAGCTGCTCATCGCTGACGACAGCGTTGTGCGGCTGTTGTCTCCTGCGCGCCCCTCTGCCGCCGACACCAAGCGTGGGCACCTGCGTCTGCTGAAAGCCATCCTGAACTGTGGCCAGAGTCGTGACTCCGCGTGCGGCCGAAACAACTTTGCGTTTGTTGCTCTCGTGCAAGCGCTGAAGCCCCGCTTTGGCCAGCGCAACCTCACGTGCGAAGCTGGTTTGCCAAAGGGCTTCCGTCCCAGTCCAACACAGCACCATACCATGCTGATGGCAGTCGCAGACTTCCTCAGCAAACACAAGGAGGAGGTGACGGTCAAGGTGCCGAAGAAAACACAGGTGCAACTGGCCGCATGGGTGATGCAAGCACAGCATGACCTCCCCTCAATCTTGTCGTTCATCACCCAGCACGATTTTGCTGTGCATGTGCGGGAGCAGTGGCCCAACGATTTCCACAAGAAGCTTGAAATTGCGCTCGCAAACACTTCCAACAACACATCGACAGCTTTCATGAGTTTCATGAGGGACACCCCTGACGCCAAGCACGTCGTCTTCAACGCTTGGCTGTCCCAGCTCAGTGCCACCGCCACCACCAACAGCAGCAGGGCCACCAGAACAAGTGATAGTGCTTCTGGGCTGCAACAGCAGCAAACACTTGCGGATGGCAGTGTTGAGCTGGCTCAGTCCGACATCCTGACAAAGAAGCAGCGCAGTCGCCTCCTGGCCACCATTCTCGAAAAGTGCAAGACAAGCAGCTTGTGCTCTAACTTGCTGTTGCCTGTGCTGCGCACGGCCCGTGATGATGCTGAGAGCGTGTGCCAGCTCTGGGCTGACGTGAAAGCAACTTCCAAGGCCAACAGTGCACTGCAACAGTGGCTGTCCAGCCACGGCAGTCGCCACACCCGTCGCCCAAGCAGCTCGAGCACTGCGGATCACCTCCAAGTGCCTGTGAAGCAGCTGCTTGCCAATGCGCACGAGTTGGATCTTGTGCTGCAGCGCCACGTTTCTGCTCTCACTCCTCCACCTCAGGCGCCCAGTAACGGCAGTGTTGACGACGCTGATGATGCTGCTACAAATGATGATGCTGCTACAAATGATGATGCTGATACAAATGAAGCAACTGCTGCTGCTGCTGCCGATGATGATGATGATGACGATGATGATGATGATGATGATGATGATGATGGTGATGATGATGATGATGATGATGATGGTGATGATGATGATGATGATGATGATGATGGTGATGGTGATGATGATGCTGCTGATGCTGCTGTTCCTCATAGTGCTACTGCTGCTGCTGCTGCTGCTGCTGCTGAAAATGAAGATGATGATGCCGACGACGAGGTCATTGCTGCAAGCAGAGCAAACGAGCAGAGCAGGCACGTGAATAAGAGCAGTGATGCGCCAGAGAACAGCCTGGAAGTTCCGCAAGACGCGCCCAGCAGTGCCAGCGCAGAGCACAAAGTCCCCTCTGATAACGTTGCTTCGACATCGACAGCACGCAGCACGCAGCCTTGGCCAACTTGTCGCGGTGCAGACCCTCTGCGGCTGAAACCTGTCTCACAACTGGTTGTGGCCTGTGTGTGCAATACGCCCTCGATGACCTTGTTGGAGCAGCTGGTGAGCGCCACACAGGAGAACGTCGCTTGCGTTGACCTGAATCGAGCGGGTGCTGCCCAAGAGGTGCTTGCCGTTGTACGCAAAGGCGTGTGCGCGCTTGCTTCGGCAAGCCACAGCTCTGGCCGCACCAGCGACGCCGATCTGTGCCGTGTGCTCAAGCTCCTGCAAACTGGTGCACATGACAGCCATTCCCACCATCCCACGTTCCACCAGCTGGGCGTGGACGCTCTTGCTTTGATCCGGGTGCCCACGTCGTACCGCAGCATGATGCAGCACGTGGCCCTGTGGCAGTGCATCCTCAGCGCTGACTCACCACGTGCGTGGGCAGAAACGCAGACTGCGCAGGAAGCGCACAGGGTGTTGGTGCAGGAGCTGCAAGCCTGGGCCGATCTCAAGAAGACGAGCCGCGATGTTGCTGTTGTCCGTGCACAAAGGCAAGCGCTCACCTCGTTGCTGTCCCTCGTCACGCACGCTGGCCATTGCGCAGAGGACATTGTTACCGCAGCATTTGCATCACAACAGAAACTGGAGGAAGAAAGCCAACTGGTTGGCGCCTTGCACAGCTTGTTACACCATCTGCTGCCGTCAGATGTTTGGCTTGAAAGGCTTCAGCGTGAACTGGGCACATGGAGAGACCAATCACTATCGCGCGCCTCCAACTCAAGTCGCTGGCAAGGCATCCTACAATGGAGCCAAGCTGATGATCTGCGCACTGTTTCTGAACGGGCTGACAGCCTCACCTTCCGCGCTTACGTGAGACACATCCTGGCTCTCCAAGACAACCGCGAACAACTCATTAACAACAACAACAACAACGACGACGATGACGACCACAACAACAGCATGTCCGCTGATCTTCATGACGATGACGATGACGATGGCGATGGCGATGACGGAGATGCTAGTGTTGCCCGCCAACCCGACATCTCCCACTTCCAGCCATCAGCTTCTGCTGCGCACAGGGCGCTTGCAACAGCGGTGAAGACCCAACGCGACCATGCCAACCACTTTCTCCATCTTTCGGAAGCAACACCACTGCGTGCCTTGGAGGTGATGTGGGGCAATCTCAGCGCTGATCAAGTCGCACCTGAAGTAGACATGCTGTTTCGCGTCCTTGGTCGATCCCAACGAGGCACAAGCACACGTACCAGCATCCGCGATCTCAAGGCACAGCTCACGAGCTACGCTCAGCGCAAGGAGTACGAAGCCCGAGCCACCGATCTGCAGCACGTGCTGTGCGTGTGCGAACGTTTTCTCGCGTCAAACACATCGCACCTAACACAGACCATTCAAGCCGTGTTGCAGCCTGATGCTGGCGACGAGCAGACGCTGGGGGTGCTGCATCGTGCCGTGCAGCGCGTCGAGGGTGTGATAACCCGCTCTGAGGTGTGGGACGTCGTGCATGAGCTGGCACACTCAGCAGATCTTCTTGAATTCCTTTACGAGCAACGCCACGAGGACGTCCGCCACTACACCGTGAGTGCAGAGGCGTTTGCCTCCGATGCATACATGGCAACGTCGGAGCAGGTCAATGCCTTCATTCAGCTGCACTCCTTCATGGCGCCCCTGATTTTGGAGAACGAGAAAGCCCCAGATTTCGAGTCATACCTACAGAAACTTCACGAGCGATACGATCAAACGCAAGCGCCACTGCAGACCGCAGGCACACGATTCGCCGCCGACCGTACTGGTGCTGCTATGCGCCGCGACTCACTGTCGCAGCTCCTTCGCATCTGCAATACCAGCTTGCCTCGCTTGAAGATGTTCGTCGAGACTGTGTCCGATCGTGGCGCTGCTTCTCGCGAGAGAATCCGAAAGATCATGGACCCTTCATTCCATGCATGCGTTGAGTTCCACTGCGACACGCTGCACCAGACTGCTGATTTCACCCTCGTGCTCGTCGGGGAGGAGGGGAACACCAGGCTTGGCCAACGTGACATCAGCGACCTTCGTGCGCGCGCTTGCCTGCTCTCTGCGGATGAGGATTCAGAGGTGCGTGAGACCATGCTGCAGTTTCGTAACCTCTTGCGCGACGTCGACGTGGCCCTGGTGCAGCTTACAAAACTGGCCAAGAGCGGGCATCTCGGCGAGTTCAGCAGCAATTACCGCAGACGCATTCCCTGTGTGCATCGCCCTGATGAGCATGAAGAGTCGTTGCAAGGGTATGCCGAAGAACTCGTCCAGGACCTGCGCATGTGGAACACCAGCCTGCAGCGCGCACGAGCAAGGTTCCCAGCCCTTGCCCGGCTCTCAAACAGGCAGCTTGTTGTTCTGTTCCAGACCCATTTTCTCTGTGAAGACACGGGCGACTTTGATGAGCAGGAGAGCCTGCAGCTGTTGGCGTTGCTGTTTGGTTCCCACGTGGACAGCGTGCAGTTTTCAGACTGGGCAGGCGATGATGGCCTGTTTGATGTTGAAGGTCTGAGCGGCGAGGAAGCGCTATACGAGCTGGGCATGGCGCTATCCGATGTGCAAGACAGCATCGGCAGCAATGCCACGTCTGCCCGAGCGCTGATGGCGCGAGCTAGCACGCCTCCACCTTCGCCCTTCCAGCACGGCGCCAAACACGACGTCGTGCGCGTCATGCTTGCAGACAACGACATGACCACAGCAACATGCGTCCTCGCAGCTTTCACTGATGCCAACCTGCGGTTCGCTCCAGCACAATGCCTCTTCTGCTCCAAACACACGGACCCAGACACACTGCACCTGTTCCTCCAGCGCAGCCAGGACCCTGGTGCGGGCGCGCCATTCGTACTTGTGCATCCTGGCCGCCTCAGCATCGAGGCACAGGCGCACCTCAAGGCCGAGCTGGGGCAGTGGACAACTACGCCGTGCTCACCTCGTCACTCCAGGGCGCCTTGCCCAGACATGGAACGACGCCCAGGCATGCAATTGCGCGGGCGTCCTCTGCCTCGACTCAGCGTCGTGTGTCAGCGCACGACACACGCGCAGCTGCTCGTGGATATCAGTGGCGTGGACTTGGAGGATGTTGCCAGTAACATCACCGCCGCCAACGACTTCAAAGTCCAAGTCGACCTGCATATACAGGACAAGGGAGACGTCACTGTGGTGACGAGTGAAATGGCACAGCAAGGAAAGTCCACGTGGATTCAGGAGCAGATGCGCTCTGCCGAGGCTGATGCCGAGCAGCGGCCCTGTACGCTGTTGGTGTCCGGCCACGACACATTCGATACACTGTTGGGGAAGCTTGCTGCCCTTCCTGGGATCAGCAGCGATGGTAGCACACCGCGGGCCATACACATTGATGTTGGCGCAGCCCTCAATGTGGAGCCCGACTTGAACATGCATTTGTTTCAGCTGCTGGTGCTGCGCTGCTTGGCCAGAGACGATCGCGTGTGGCACATCCCACCCTCACTCCGTGTGTTTGTTGAGGTCGGCAACACGCTCAACAGCGGACTGCTTGACGAGCTGTCCTTGACAACAGCAGCCCCGTTTCGTGCACACAGGCTTGCCTGGGATGTGTCGAACGTCACCGTGTCCACCGACATTGAGAGCCCGATGCAGCTTGCCTGCCGCTACTTGGACCTCTTGCACACCAATGACATGTCCACTGCATATGTTGAGCCGCACCTCACGTACGGCGCAGAGATTGCCACCACAGTCTTCGTCGATATTCCAACGTTGCCGCGGGAGCGCTGCCTCGAGCTCCTTCAGCACTACTTCCCGCGTCTGCAAGAGGGGCATGCCTCGTTTGCCGAGCTCAACGCTTTCCTTCGAGTGACAGCACAGCAGCTGCCGCGCATGTTCACGAGTGCGTATGTGCAACAGCAGATGCTTTGCGCATACATGGGGCTATCGCCAGAGCAAGCGCGCCAGATACGCCGAGGCATGGTCACAGCTGTGGTGGACACAGTTCGGCGGTTTGCCGTGCCTTCTGCCGACGCAGTGAGGCAAGCACAGCACCACCACCAGCACTCGCAAGGAACCATGACAGATGACATGCTGCGCCGCATGGAGCGTGTACCGGCGTGGATTCAGACTGGCGCGGGATCAGGCGCGACGCACTGGATGCTGTGCGCTGCTGACGATGGGTGTGTGTACCCTTTCTACACTGACCCGCAGGCTGTTCCACAGGAGGTGCAACGTTTCTTTGAGGCACAGCTCGCGCCGCTCAGGTCAATGGTTTCACACTCTTCGAAAGAGCTGTTTGAGCGCGTTCAGCATCTGCTTGACCACACCAATACCAGAGAGCAGGGCCAGTACGCCATGACGCTGGACAACATGCTGAAGATGGTGCTGATCTACATCCGCATCACCAACAACGTGCCGTGCATTCTGATGGGCCACGCAGGTTGCGGCAAAACGTCCCTCTTCAAGCAGCTGGCAGACATGCGTCGCGACGTGGTGTACGACGGTGCGTTGGCCATCCATGCAGGCACCACTGCACAGGACATTGTTGCTTACGTCAACGCAGCCATCACACGTGCCACGGCAGCGGCAGTGGCAGAATCAGCAGGCAAGACCGTGTGGGTCTTCCTTGACGAGATCAACACGTGCGAACACCTCGACCTGCTGTCCGACATCATTGTGCGCCGCCGCTGCGGCTCCCGCTCCATCCCGGACAACGTCAAGATTGCGGCTGCGTGCAACCCGTACAAGCGCCGTGACCGCCCATCACCAACACCAGGGCTGGTCACCACGGAGCGCCAGCCCATTGACGCGCAGTCGCACCTCATGTACCGCGTGCACCCGCTGCCGGAGGCGATGCTGCCGTACGTGTGGGACTTTGGCGAGCTGTCCGCTGGCGACGAGCGACTGTACATGGGCAGCATGGTGGACGGCCTTGGGCTGGACCAGGACGAGAAGAACGCAGTCGTGCACATGCTGTATCAGTGCCACGACTTCTTGAGGACGCAGACAGACCACATGATCAGCTTGCGTGACGTCAAGCGCTTCTGCACGCTCTTCAAGTTCTTCAAGACGTGGCGGCAGCGCCGTGGCGATCTTGCGCACAACAAGTGCGTGCGTGACGTCCGCGTGGCGGAGCTCACGGCGAACATGCACGCCGCGTGGCTGTCGCTCATGCAGTGCTACATGGTGCGCCTGTCCGACAATACGCAACGCCGAACGCTACTGAGGAGATGCATTGGTGGTGATGAGCAGCAGGCAAAAGCCAAAGCATTGTTGAAGTTCATGCATCAGGAGCAGCTGGACATGGTGGACCGCATGGACAGGCGGCCACCGCAGTTCCAGAACTTGGCGGAGAACGCGGCCTTGCTGGAGAACACGTTTTCCATTGTCGTGTCGCTGCTCAACCGCATCCCCATCTTCCTCGTCGGTAAGCCGGGCAACAGCAAGACGGTGAGCATGAGCCTCGTCAACAACAGTCTCCGCGGCCCAGACTCGCGCGACCCGCTGCTCAAGTTGTACCCGGGCATCACCGTGTTTGCGTACCAAGGCAGCGTTGAGGCGACGAGCGAGGGTATCCTGCAGGTGTTTGCTCGTGCGGAAGCGTATCTGCAAACAGCCAGCAACGACAACGTGCTGCCCGTGGTGGTGCTGGATGAGGTTGGACTGGCCGAGTACTCGCGCCACAACCCGCTCAAGGTGCTGCATGCAAAACTTGAGCCGCCAGACGGCAGCGAGCTCCGTGTTGGCGTCGTTGGTATCTCCAACTGGGCGCTCGATGCGGCGAAGATGAACCGCGCACTGCACATCTCCCGACCAGAGCTGTCTCGTGATGAGCTACGGAGCACCGCTGACGCAATTGCGCAGAGCTTTCGCTCGCAGTCCAGCGACGGGCATGCCAGTGCGCACAGCAGCGACGGGCATCCACAACGTGGCAGCGGGCCTCGCCTGACAGATGGTCTGAGGCCACGGGCGTCTTCGAGGTTGAGGCTGCTTGATATTACTCTGCGTGCTCTGGCTGACGCGTTCAGCAAGTATATCAAAACACGCACTGACAGCAGATTGGGCGGGAAGCACAAGCGCTGCTTCTTTGGCCTTCGCGACTTTTACAGCGCCTGCAAGACTGTGTGTCGGAACCAACAGCGTTTGGGGGCGAGTGTGCTTGCCACCGCCCTCATCCGAAACTTCTCCGGCACGCTTGGCAGTGCCAATGCTGGCAGCGGCCACCACGACGGTGTGGGCGAAGGATATGGCAGCGGTGCTGTTGGGGACGCTGGTGGGGAGGCACCAGCAGATAATGGAGGTGTTGACGCCACTTCCCACCCGCAGCAACAGAGCGAGCATGCACTCATGTTCCGGCTTGTTGTTCAGCACTTGGTACAGCACAATCTGGTTGAGCTCGCAGTCGACCTGCACACCGCGTTGGAAGCGGCCAGCAGCAGGATGTCAGAGTGCATCAAAGAGAACCTGAGCGACTTTGAAGCGCGCCATCTCCTCATTGGTTCTGTTGGTGATGCAGCGCTGTCCATCTTGGACACGAGCAACGCTCTCATCATCCGCGGCAGTCAGTTTGAGGCGGACATGAGCAGCGAGGACCACGCGTACGACGTGCTGAGCCGGATCATTGTGAAGATGGAGCATGGTGGCATGCTGGTGCTGGTGGATCTTGATTCCGCCTATGGCAGCCTGTACGACATGCTGAACCAGAGCTACACCGTCATTCAGGGTCGCCGCAACTGCACCATTGCCTTGGGCTCTTACAGCAACCCCTTGTGTCCCGTGCACGACACGTTCCGCTGCGTCGTGCTGATGGATCGCGAGAAGATGCAGACGTATGACCCACCCTTTCTCAACCGCTTCGAGAAGTACCTGCTCAGCTTCACAGACGCGTTGACGAGGGACCAGCGGGACGTGTGCGCGCAGGTGGAGAACTGGCTCACGCGCATCGTTGCGCGTGGTCAGGACACGTCCACCGTAACGCTGCAGGACAAGACGAGGGCCATCCCTTGCTACAGCGACAACCTGGTGCCAAGCCTGCTGCTCAAGTACTTGCGCCATGACCCGAGTCGAGGTGGCGCGATGGCAGCGGCACTGCCAATGTCTGCGGACCACCAACACGACGCCTTTGATGTGGTGCGGCAAGGGCTGGTGAACCTCATGTCCCTTCAGTTTGTGGCGTCGCTCTCTTCCTCAGTGTCAGACAGGGACGAGTTGAGCCGCGACAAGCGTGCCGTGTTTGAAGAATACATGCGCAGTGCCAGCCATCATTCCCTTGCTCTTCTACTGCAGCACATTGGCTGGTTCGAAGATGATGACAACAACAACGACGGCAACCTTGCTGACCATGACGATGATGATGATGCTGACGATGGTGATGATGGTGATGGTGATGGTGATGACAGCGTTGGAGAAAGTGGTGCCAATGCTGGCCGCGACGACATGCGCGATGCCGATGATAGCGGCGGCAGCCGCGAGGCAACCGCAAGCACATCTGCGCACACCAACGGGGCTGCGGTCCGAAAACTCATCGTGGTCACGCGCTCAGCCATCTTCCACCCTTTTACAGAGCTACCAAACCATTCCACACTGCGCCTGTGCGACGTGAGGTCTGAAGCCGCCCTGACTCACCGCCTGAATGAGGCATGGCGGACAACGCCCAACAACGGTACGCTGGTCGTTCAGTTCTCGCTCAGCGACCTGCGCCACTTTACCTTCACGCAGGACAAAATCAAGCATCTTCTCAACACACCTGCCTCTGATCAAGGGCACATTGCTGTCCTTGAACATCAGCACCAGCGACAAGGATGGCATCAAAGGGGGCAGGAACAGCAAGAGCGACAAGGATGTCAGCAAGATCAGCACGATCAGCACGATCAGCACGAGGGCCACCAGCTACACCAGCGTCTGCGGCACGGCAGTCCTCCAATGCGACAGCAGAAAACACATCCTCGACGTCTCATCCTGTGCATTCACATGCACTCCACGACCAAGGAGCACAAGGAGCACACCAAGGAGTTGGCGCTGCTCAGGACAATCATGGCCTCACCGGGTTGGCACATGCACTATTGCGACGACTTGTCGGGCTTGCTGTCTGCTGGTACAGCTGCAGAGCTGCAAGCAGGGCGAACGCGTGACGTGGCTCATCGTCACATGCCACCCGCCGACCGCACCAACCGTGCTCTGTTGAACCTGTTCAGCAAGTCTCTGAAGAGTGCCGTGCGGGATGACGAGCACTCGCTCCTGTTCTACCAGCATCTCGTCCGCGAGGAAGGCATGTGGTGGTGGTGCTACTCGCGAATGAACTTCTCACATGTTCAGCACCAGCTGGACTGCGCGCGGTCGTCAATGCAGCGCCTTTTCCCGCACCACCACGCGCGCCAACTTGACACTATGGACACCCGTGGCGCCGGCAGTTCTGCAGGATCACATCACGGCCAGGCAGCGATGGCACGCGGTTTTCGCGAGTGCATTGCACTTGCCGCTGTGCAAGCGCTGGATGATGCGCCTGCGTGGGTAACCCGGCTTGCTGGGGAAGACATGCACCAGCCAACCTTTGGCACGTTTTCGCAACGGCTGGTGACCAGCGTGCGGGAGACGGTGCTCTCCGCGATTGCGCGCGTTCTCTTCCACTTGGAGCGCTTCCATTCCGTTCCAAACGCCACGCAGGTGGCCGATGCAGACGCACGCGCCATCCTGGCTGAGCTGCACATTCCCGAGCGCACATATGCCGGGATGGTCACTGGCATGTTCCCCGGCTTGTTGGACGCGTTTGGCCCCAGCAGCAGCGTCGTTGGCAGCAGCAGCAATGGTATCGACACCCAGCTTGGTGCAATGTCGCTGCAGCTGCCAGAGAAGCACGTCTCGTACAACAGCGTGCTGCCGCTGTCGGAAGCGCTGTTTGCTGTGCTGGAGCAACTGCCCAGCAGTTCAGACCGCGTCGTGCGCTTGGATGCGTATGTCACCCTGGCGACTGTTGGACTCGGCAGTCAGGAGGCTTCTACCACGTCTGCACCTCCGTCATCGAGTGTTACGACGCTCACGCGGTGCGTGGGCGCGCTTCTGCTCGTTGATTGGGTTCGTTTCAAGGACCTTCACGCCGGCGCAAGCACGCGGGACATCTGGTGTGGACTGCGCATGTGTGTTGGCCAGCTGACGCAAATCACGAACGTGCATCAACTCGAGCGTGCATTGCAGATACTTCAAGACAATGAGGACACTCTCTGCGCTTTCTTTGGTCTCCTCTCGCTTGCACGTCGAGCGAACACACACGTCAATCTGCTCAACATGAGTTCACTGCAGCGCAGACGAGGCAGGGGTGCGCATCTTGCCAATGATGCTGGTGACGATGATGATGACGACGATTACGACGATTACGACGATTACGACGACGAAGGCAGTGTACAGGATAAAGACGCCGGTGACCATGATGATGACGACGGTGAAGACATACTTGATGATTGTGGCCTGGACATTGATGGCACCGGGCATGGCAGTGTTGCCCCCAGTGATGCCTCCACCACTCTCGTGCGACTCGTGTGCCAGGACATTGTGAAACGCTTCAATCGCGCAATGGACCATGGTAACACTGCGGAGGGTGTTACCGAAGCCTATGCTGCCCGAACTCTCAACCAGCACCTGGCAGCGTTAGTTCGCGTCCGGTCCGCCCAGCGAACAGGTGGTCCTGTTGCCGCACGTGACAGCGGTCTGATCGACAGTCGCTCACGCGACAGCGCGCTACGCGTTCGCCGATTTGGCAGTGGCAACAGAACCGCCACTGACACGACCGGTGGCATTACGCCCGCAGCCGTTGCTGTGGCGCCAGCACAGGTGCTCCGCGCAAACGTGCTCAATGCGCTGCTGTGCGGTTGGCAGCGAAACCCGCAGCTTGCCGTTCGCCCGCTCGTCCGCGATATCGACGCGCTGTTTGCTTCACCCACGCCGCTCACCACGTTCATCAAGAGCGTGTGTGCGGAAGACGAGAGGCTGTGGGAGATTGCTGAGCCCCGTCGACGGCTGGTGTCGGATGCCCTGGCGCTGTTCAGCCAGCTGCTGGACCTTGGCTTTTCTGCCATGGGGCACAATGTACAACGGAAGCTCCTGGGGATTTTGTGCCGCAGAACCACCCATGCTGCACGAGACGCGTGCAGTGTGTGCTTGGGAAACTCGCTCACACACCGCGTCATCGCCTGCCAGCACGCGTTCTGCTACAGCTGCCTTGAGCAATGTGTGCAGCTCTCGCAACCGTGCCCGTTGTGCCGAGGACCGCTCCGCGGCTTGGCCGACATCCAGCAGTTGCCGCAGGAGGAGGCTGCCACCACGCAACGCACGGAGCGGGCAGTGTCACAGGCTCACCTCTGGCTCCCACACACGGGCAGCGCAGTGCGAACAGCGGTGTTGAAGTTTGCTACAGGCGCTCAGGACGTTGAGTCCTTGATGACACAGCCACCGGGACCACTCTTTGCTGGAATGGCTGCTGTCTTGGGTGCAAATGACTTTGATGCCACCCGAAGCTCGCCCATGCTTGTGCTCACCGTGGACGTGCTTGAGGGCGCAGTGTTGCCAGGCATGCTCCAGGCTGCCCCCGCTGTCGCTGTTCTGTGCGTGCAAGGGGTGCTTGCGCGCTGTCTCGATGCCGTACAGCAGGTGGACGATCGCGGCGTTTTCACTAGGGAGACGGTGCGTGATGCAGCTGTTGGGGTGGCCGTGCAGCGCACATGCATCCGCCTCATTGCCGATGCACTCCTTGAGCAACGGGAGGACGACCTGTTTCCAGACGTTTTGCAAATGCTGTTTGGCGATGACGATACGCCAATGCAGGCTGCACCACCAAGTTTGAAGCAACGTCGCCTCTTCCTGCTCAAATCCCTTCGACAGAACCGCGACCTGCAGGGACTTCGGGCCGTTCTGCAATTGCACGAGCGGCGCCTGCCGTGGCTGACCAGCCTCGAGTGGCCGGACCAGGATGCCTGGCTCGTGCCTTTCATTCCTTTTGCCGTGCCCAGCCAAGCCGCCTCATTTGCACAGTGGAATCAGCTTCGAATGCACCAACAGCACCACCAACAGCACAACCCACAGCAGCAACAGCCAGCTGGGGCAGACGTTGGACCGGACGTTGGACCGGGCGTTGTTGCCAATGTCATGGCCCGCATGAACATGCGTCCGATTGCGGATGAAGCGCGACCGGCTGTCCTCAATCACCCGGTGTTCACAGTCGCCCCAGCCCATCACGAGGCCATGACGGCGGTCATTAACCGCCTTCCACGCCACCAAGTGTGGGGCACAAACTTGCGGGCGGACAGCGAAGCGGAGAGAACCTTGTTGAACCAGCGCCTCGAGCACGCGCGACTGCTCGTGTTGCACTTGGCGAGTGTCTTGCTCGATGCTGAGCGAGAAGGCAGGGACCTCGGGCTTCTCCATATGCTTGCACAACCACCTCAAGACATGTCCCCACTGTTCGTGCCTGCATCCGCAAACGACGAAGCAAGTGGCGCCATCAACGCAGTGCGTGACCGCTCAGCAACCTACAAATGCCAATGTGGAGAAATGTATGCTGTTGGTGATTGTGGACAATTGAGCGGCCGTGGAACCTGCGCGCGGTGTGGAAGTCCCATCGGAAGAGAATCTGGGCACAACCGCGTCGCTGGACGTGGCATGATTGCACCACCACCCTTTCATTACCTCAACACCCACCACCTCCGACAACAGCAGCAGCAGCAGCGACCTCAGCATCAGAGACAGCAGCGAGGATACTTCCCCCTTGCGTTCCAAAATTTGCAACGAGACGGTGAAGGAGTTCGACACCTGTCTGCACGCAGCGCTGGCGTCTTGGACATGATCGTGCATGCAAGCTTGCTTGTCGCTGCGTGCCGAGACGCTGCGTCTGATGCCGCTGTGCGTCGCCTCCTAAATGAGCAGCTTCCGTTTGCCACCGAGCAGAGCTCGGCGGCTGCGCTTCTTCGTCGCATTGTGGGCGTGCTCGAGAGGCTGGAGACCACGCTTGATGCGAACACACGTGCCGTGAGTGGACTTGTAAACCGTATTGCGCAGCGTCTCATGCACCCTGTGCCCGGTGATGAGGCGGCATCAGTTCCGCTGGATGCAGACCTGCGCACGGAGCAAGGACGCGGTGCCTTTGAGCAAGCCTTCCATGCACTAGCAGAGCAGGTCATTGGCACGAATCCCCAGCAGTGCGGCGACGCCATCATATCGGACCTCAACCGCCAGCACGGTGCTCGCAGCAACTGGCTGACCCGCCAAGTATTTGAGCGTCGAAGTGTTGCGAGTGGTGCTGGTACTGACGACAATACTGATGGTGCTGCCAATGGTGGTGATGGTGGTGGTGATGATGATGATGATGATGATGATGATGATGATGAGGATGAGGATGATGATGGTGATGACCCTGTTCCTGATGTTGGTGATGGTGATGGTGATGGTGATGGTGAAGACACTCAGAACAACATCCACGACAACCATACCAACGACGCGGAGGATATGGCAGAAGAAGAAGACGAAGGCGTGCTTTGGGGCTGTTGGCGTGTTGCGAAGCAGCCTGATGCCGGGTCACTGCTGGCGGCGTACGCAAACGACACCCACGCGCAACGCCAGTTCCCACTCATTGGCACGTGTGCACGCATGCGACATGTTCTGCCATTCTGTCGTCTGATCGTTCCGTTGACTGCGTGGTACATTCGTGTTCGACAGCACTTTGAGGACAAGGTGATCTCCCGCGGAGAAACGGAGGGTGCTGATGCCATGACGCATGCAGCACTGATTCAGCAAATGCAAGGGAGTGGCCGTGGCGAAGATGCACAGCGCTGCTTTCACGCATTCCAGCAGGCCTGGAATGAGGTTGTTGAGCATCAAGCGCTGGTGTTTGGTGGTGTGACTGTGTCCGCTAATGGAACGCTCGTGCGTGACGAGGAGGCCGAGTTTGGCCGCATGGACTGCACGACACTGCAGCGCATGCCCTCCATGAACGACGACATGCCCGTGGGGTTCTCTCTCCTCTCAGACAGCGGAAGCGGACGCCACTTGTACTTTATGCTGCGAAGGCTTGCAGCCATTCAGACCGAGCACATTGAACACGTGTTGGCCACGTGCGAGGAGAGCGTGAATGCGCAGAGGGCGGTGCAGCACGCGAGTGGAGCGTCCATCGTCGTTCCCAACGTCAGCGTGACGCGGGCGCGCCCGCAGCTTGTGGTGTCGGCCGTGGTGACGGAAGACGTCCTTGCTCACGTGTATGCGCACACCAGTGTTGGCAGTGGCAATCAGCTCGTCGCTAACTGGCAAGCTGTGCAGGACATTCTTCTGCAGCACACGTTTGTGGGCAAGGTGGGCTTCCGCCCCGTGGAACCAGCCACCTTTGGTTTCCGTTTTGGGCGAGAGCAGGGCGAACACTTTTTGCAAATGTGCCACGAGCTGCAGCGCCGCTATGCGAATCTCTGGCAGGACATTCCGCCCCAACGCAAGGACGCAATGACGACCGCATCTGAGTTGAGGCAGAGGGTCGACGAGCTGCGCGGAGCACTCGAGGTGCTTGTGCTGCAACTCAGGACACGCCTTGCACAAGTGCATGGCGATGGAAGCCTGAACCTGGACAGCGATCGCGCGGACACGGACGACGGCAGCGAACCCGCAAGAACCAGCCGTGGGATATCTGTGGAGGCAATGCTGCAGAAGAGTTTGGAGGAGTTTGTCAGGACCGTGTTGCCGCAAGGAAACAGCACCACCACAACCGTCCTGCGCCGATGCGAGTGTCACAACCTCAGGGTTGCCCAAGTGTTCTCCTTGTTGGAGCTGGTGTACGAGCAACTGATTCTGCAGGATGCACATGGAAGCCACGCTCACGACATCCAAGACGAAGTGGCAGTGGTGCAGGAGCTGCAAACTGCCATCCGTGAAGGCAAGCTTGTGCCAGAAGCGGCCATGTACGGTTTGCGACACTTTTTCGTGTGCTCCTACTACCTGGACTACCGTCATAACACGGAACACTCGCTCAGCGACTATTGGGAGGCGCTCCTTGACAGACCAGAGTTTGTGCCTGTACACTTCAACAAAGAGCAGATGCAACTGCCATCTTCGCTGCAAATGAAACATGTACCATCACTGTACGTGTGGCTGGATTTGCACTCATGAACAAGAAAGAGAGAGTGTGTGTGTGAGTGAGTGAGTGTGTGTGTGTGTATGTGTGTGTGTGTGTATGTGTGTGTGTGTGTGTGTGTGTGGAGGGAAGGGAGTTGTTGGAGCGAATGACACAGAGAGAGAGAGGGGGGAGGGAGGGAGGGGCGAGAGAGGGAGAGAGAGTGTGTGTGTGTGTGTGTGTGTGAGTGAGTGGATATGTGTGTTCAACTGTGCTGAGAGAGGGAATGCGCTAGTGCGCGTCTTAGAAGTGCTGTTAATGTTTTCTTTGCAATGCCACCCATACATCGACAATGAAACCACAATACACACGTTCAACGCGGTTCTTGTCATTGATACAATAAGTGAGAGGACACACACATGCATGCGTAAATGAAGGACAGTTCGCAACACTAAATCAGGCCAGCTTCCTTGAGTTGGTAAAAGCTTGGGCGCTGTGCCGGGTCGTGTGCCATGCAGTCCAGTGTCAGTGTCTTGAACCACTCTGGGATGCCTGCGTTGTCCACGTGCGCATGTGTGCATGTGTGGTTGGTTGGTGTGATGAACAGCGATTTGTCCAAGGACATGAGAGAAGAGCATGATCGGTAAGAGATCAACGTGAGGTGAAAAGTGACGGCAATGGAACACAACAGCCACATGAACTGCAGCGTGAACAACGCACATATGCACAAGCCATGCACATATGTGTGGAAACGTCTGAACAACAACAACAACACACACACACACACACACACACACACACACACACATGGGACTCACCATCCATGTCGCCAAATTTGAGGCGCTTGCCCTCAGTCAGGAGCGTCGCGATGGCTGCCAGCAGGGGGCCCCTGAAGTCGCCCCCCTTCTCCTGCGCAATCAGATCCGGTGGTGCGCTGTGTCGCCACCTCCCACATCAACACGCCAAAGCTGAACACGTCTGCGCCGAAGCTGTACTTGTCACCCATCAATGCCTCTGGCGCCATGTACAGCGGCGTGCCCACGCCAGCCGTCAGCGTCATGCTCGTCATTGTCTGCAGTCCAGTGCGCTGGCTGTATTGCGGGTCATCGTCAGCTTGGCTGGACGACAGGCGAGTGTGGCTGCTGCCGTGGGCTCTGCCGCTACCTCCACCGCCACCACGTGTAAAGCACTGGCGAATGGACCCGAAATCCGTGATTTTGGCGCGAAGCGACGATGACACCAGCACGTTGCCGCTCTTCAGGTCTCTGTGGGTGTGAATGAGTGTGGAAGTGGTGGTGGGTTGAGGGTAGGATGGTGCAGTGGGCAAGAGTGCGTACCTGCATGCAAACATAGAAACGCAGCTTCAAACGCACATACACAAACACACACAAACGCACACACACACACACGCAAACACACACGCATACACACACTCACCGATGCATCTGGTCCAGACTGTGGATAAAAGCCATGCCACTCGCAATGTCACGCAGCAAGCGCAGCTTCAACTCCCACACACTGTTCACATCATCCCTGACACCACCACTGCTGCTGTTGCTCTCCTCAACCTTCCTGCTCCTCACTTCCATCAACACTTTGTCCATGTCCTTCCCCAGCAGATCCTTTAGTGATCCCATTGCCACAAACTCCAGCACCAGGAACGGGCTGCCGTTGGGGTCTGTGCCCGCGCCAAAGAATCGCACCACATTCGGGTGCCGTGTCCGCTGCAGGAACTCCACCTCCTTCTCAAACTCAAGCACCGTGCTCTCGTCAAACGCCATGACGGCTTGCTGCAGCACTTTCACTGCCACCATCACCGTGTCCCACTCTGCCTCAAACACCACGCCAAACGCACCCGCAGCAACACGCTTGATCATCCTCAGCTCATCGTACTCAATTTCCCAAGCCTTCTTGAGCGCCATCACCTCCTCGTCTCGCTCCACCAGCAGCTGCTCCTGCAGGTCAATGCGCTTGGTCAGGCCACGGTAGCGGCGTGACAGCCACGCCACAAACAGGCCAAAGAACAGCCCGCCAATCACAGAGCCAACGGCAATGCCGGCAATGTCTGGGTTGTCCACCACGCACCGCCCGCCTGACGTCAGCTTGAAACCGCGTGCGCACGTGCAGTGGAAGGTGTACACAACCTCGGCCAACAGGTCGGTGGGGTTGTCCTGCAAGCGAAACGTGTCACTCCGCAGCTGCAGGCTACACTCCACTGGCGTCCCCTGCACTTGAAGTAGAGGTGGCGCTGCTCGAGAATGGATTGGATCAAAGCCGAGCGTTGCCAGCCGCTTGTCTGAGAGCGCGACCGTCTCACCGAGAGCGTTGTTCAGCTTGCCAGGATGGTCCAGCCAGGCAGAGTGCGCCAAGTCGAGCACGTTAACAGTTCGAACACAGCGTTGCAAGGCCGGTAACACCTCATCCAGTGTGAGCGAGTCCCTGCGAGCATGTCGAGCAAACAGAGTACGGCGACCCCACCGCGTACACAGCCCAGCACTCGGGTGGACACTGGTCTCGCTCACATCAAGCACGTCTACAAACGGCACATCAAGGGCGCTGAGCTGCCGGCACCCGGAGGCGTTGAGGTTGCGCAAGCCGTTTGCAACACTGATCTTGTTGAGAAAGGCGTTGTCTTGCACGAACACGGTGCTGAAGCTCTTGTCAGGGCACAGGTGGATCTCCGCGTGCCTGGTGTTGACAAGCGCAAACTCATGCACGTCCTCGGCCAATAGATGGCAGATCTGCTGTAGTGGAAGTGAGCCGGCGTCGGCAGTGGGCCACCCAAGCCGGACTGTGTTGAGGTGGAGGGGCGGCAGCTCTTGCAGGTACTGAAGGACGTCGCGCACGTCCACATTGAGAAGGCTGAGCGAGCGCAGATCTTTGGCCGCCTGTGTCTGTGGTGGGGGATGAGCCGCGTCAACGGTGCCCACGGAATGCACGTCGGGGGCGGCATCCAACTGCAAGTCGCGCAGCTGCGTGGAGCGAAACGCAAATGTGAGATCAAAAGCCGTGATTCGGTGGCGACTGAGGCGTAGCTCGCGCAGCTTGCTGCTGACGGCAAGGGTTGCCGGCAATGACGTGAGTGGATTGTGGTTGAGGGTCAGGGTCGTCAGGGAGGGGATTTCGGCGTGGAAGGACTGCAAGTGGTTGTTCTCGAGATCCAGCACTTGCAGGGTGGACATGCCAGCAAAGTGCACGGGGCTAAGGTTGCGCAAGCGGTTGCTCGTCAAATACAGAAATTGTATGCTGGTTGCAGCTTGGAAAATATTGGGTGGCAACGAGGTCAGCTCGTTCTCGTGCATGGTGAGAAGTCGCAGGTTGGTGCAGGCGTTGAACAGGGCTGGTGGCAGCGAGGTGAGCCTGTTCAGGGACAAGCTCAGGAAACGCAGCTCGTGCATGTCCCGAAATATGCGCTCGGGCAGGGAGGAGAGCAAATTATTGACGAGCAGCAGCCGACGCAGGGTGGTCATACCGCGGAACACATCCTCGTCCAGCGCGCTGAGGAGGTTGTCCTCGAGTTCCAGCGCGCGGAGGCGGGTGTTTGCGGCAAAAACGCGTGGCGGAAGCGCCTGCAAGCGTGCACTGCGAAGGGCCATCGTCTCAAGCAGTGTCATGCTGCCGAACGAGGCTGGCGACAGCTGGCGCAGCGGGTTATTGGAAAGGTCCAACACCAGCAGCTTCGAGAGTGGCATTAGGGCGTGGTGAGACACGGTGGTGATGTCGTTGTAGGACAGGTCGAGCCGCTCCAGGGCAATGAGGGGTTGAAACGTGTGCGCAGAGGTGACCGCTGTGATGATGTTGTGCCCGAACACCAGCCGCTCAAGGGAGACCAGCGACGTGAACCATGCGGGGTCAATGGCACTCAAGCGGTTATGCAGCAGGTCCAGCACGACTACGGCTGTCATGCCTGAAAACGCCTTGGACGGTATGGAAGCGAGCGTGTTGTTTCTCAGGCGCAGGGCGGTGAGGTGGGATGCGTGGGCAAACCCTTGCGTGGTGATTTCTCGCAGTTGGTCGCTGTCCTGCATGCGCACCTCTTTGATGTCCAGCAAAGGGTTGAGAATGCTGAAGTCGAAGCCGGGTGACTGCAGACCAAGGATATCGACCGAGGTGACGGTTGCCCAGTCCCCATGTTGTACCACCCATTCAAGTGGCTGCCGCCGAACGTGCCCGGTGAACCTTGCCCTTGTCAGCCAGCGCGAAATGCCCTGCAGTGCTGCCGCTGCCTGTCCAGAGCCGTTGACAGTCGTTTCGCCTTCGAACGCAATGGTTAAGCTGGCGTTGTTCGCAGATCCAGCGCAGGTCCCGGCCAACACGCTCGAGAGCGTACACGTGCCTGCACTTGGCGTATCGCGACGGGATCTCTTCCTCGTTTGCATCGTGACTGGTGTGTGGGGAAGATGATGGTCGCGCGACGCGTGTGAGGCCGATCCCCACTCAGCAGCCGTTGCATACTTAGTGTTGTTGTTGTTGTTGTTGTTGTTGTTGTTGTTGTTGTTGTTGTTGTTGTTGTTGTTGTTGGTGGTGGTGCTGGTGGTGCTACACCCGAGCACTTGCATCATTCTCTGTATCGACGACAGGTCAATTGGCGGCACGTCTGCGTTCACGTGTGAACGTGGAGGTGAGGGGTGTCGTCTCCTGATGCCTTGGGCGGCCTGAGAGTTGGAAGTGCCGTTCTGATTTGTTGGCAGAAACGGCACGTTGTAATGCAGGAAGATCTGCTCAATGGACGACAGCGTGCCTTTGACTTGACTGCACAATGCAGGATGCTGCTACAGATACCAACGCAACAAGCAACGTCAGGTAATGTAACATGGAACGAAGGGGAACAAAACAAGCAAACTAAGAAACTACCCACCCAAGAAACCATAGGACGTAACAAAAACAAAAACAAAAAACACACACACACACACACACACATCAACACTAACACGCACAGACACAAACACAGACACACAAACGCACACAAACACACACACACACCTACGCACACCACACCACACCACACACAAACACACATACACACACCTACAGTACACACCTACACACACGCAGACACACACTCCTTCAGAAAATCGGATCCTGCCCTCACGAGCTTACTTGTGGGGCGGCACGACATGGCTGAGGCTGAGCGCTCAGCGCAAGCACGAAGCCACCGAGCACAAGAACACTAGCAACCGTCCAGGCTGAGCGCATCTTGAGATCTTGAGCGAGGGCTCAGGGCTTGGGAGCCTTAGGAGCTTGATGGCGAACTCAAAATGAGTGGTGTGGCTGGAGCAGCAGTTCTTGGCTCATCATCGTGCGTCATCCAACCTTCGCAAGCGCGCGCAGAAAACTGCTCATATCTTTCACAGATGATCCATAAAGGTTGCATTGTCTGCCCTTGTTGAAAGCTTCCCTTTTCCCATCCTCACCTTAGCACCTTCGTGTGCTCCGACTCCAACTCCGCATCGCCTCCACCCGACTCCACTCTTTGCTTTCTACTTCGTCTTGCTTCTTGTGTAGTGTGAGGCTTGTGAGGGGGTGGAAGTAACAACGCGGCGGAGAGAACGAAACACAAACGAACAGGAACGACGTCATGCAAAACCACAGCACTGTCGACTCCCACGTGCACGTGCACGAAAGGCAACATACAACCATCACAACACCAACCAACCAATCAGAGCAAGTCAGGACTGTAAAGCATGATTGCCATGCTGGAGGTCCACTACGATTTGGGGAGCGAAGCAATGCATAGATGGGCAACGGCAACAACGGTCTCTCGACGTGGCGTCGGGTGAGAAACAACATGCGAAGTGGAAACGGCAACAAAAAAAGGCGAACAACAAAAATGGGAATGAAACGAAGTAACGGGTGGCACAACAACAACAACCGCGGTGGCAGAACGGTTGCGGTGCATCAATCAAACAAGCGAGCCGCAGAGAGAAACAACAGGAAACCGCAGAAAACGACAAGCAGTGGGAAAGAGGGAAAGCGGGGGGGGGGGGCAGAGGAGAGGCGGGCAGTAACACACAACACACTGACAACACGCCAGCACAAGAAGAGCCCAGAACAAGTGAACGTCTTGCATGTGAGGCATGGCGGTTGTCAGGTCTTCATGCCAGGTTGTGTCTTGTTTCAGACATGGGACAGGCTGAGGGCCGGGTTCTCCTCGAAGCTGGGGCGCTTGGGCATTGGAGCGTCAGTGCGCTCAGCGTCCATCTTGTAGGATGCAGATGGCTTGCGCCAGCAGCGGATAAAGAACACCAGCTGCACCACGAGGATGATGATCAGCAGCACCATGTTGATGTCTGGCAGAAAGCAAGCGACAGGCGATGAAGAGAAAGCAATTCAGCACAAGATGAGTTTGTGTCTTGACAGCCATCTTCCATCCACGCCATGCACACAACTGGAAACGTGAAAGGAGCTGACGCACATGCAAGCCTGTTGCCGCACACATGCTACGCACCACAAGAAAACCTCACGCAACCCCTTCTTCTACCGCCTCCCCCTCTCAACCCACACAAAAACAACAACAAACTTACAAACTGGAATCTCGACATCGGTGTTCTTGGTGGAAGAGGAGGCCTGGACAGTCACAAAGCTGGGGGCAGCGGTGGTGTTTGCGGTGGAGGTGGCCGTCACCACCGTGAGCTGAATGTTCGGCTGCTGCGACACGTACTGCAGCAGCTCCTTGTCGCTGAAGGCGGAGGTGTTGGTGTTGGCGGCCATGCCAACCAGCATCTCAAACTGCGTGGCAAGGGACGATGCAGTGACAACGTCACCCTGCGCGCGGCGCCGGTTCGTCAAGTCGCCAACCGTGGGCGGCAGGAGGTGGATGTCCACGCTGACGCCTGCCGTGTAGTCTGTCTGGTCCACGGGCGAAATGGCAACGACTTGCACGCGCGCCTGGCTGATGCCCAGCGAAGCCGCAATGTCGCTCTCAATCGTGTTGGCCACGCTCGCAAACGCCGGCGACGTGGAGTTGTAGTAGGCGTCCTGGAACGCCACGCTCAAGCGGAGCCCAGACACCTGCACCGACGCCAGATCGAGTGCAAGGTCTGCAAACGCGAAGAGGTGTGTCAGGTCCTGCTGCACGCTGTTGCCGTATGGGTCCTCCACTGCCGTCAGCATCACGCGCGCGGACCGCCCGTTCACGTCATCCCAGGCAAACCCGCGGCGAAGGGACATGGTGATGCGGCGGCCCTCGCACACAATCACCATGTTCGTGCTGTCAAACACGCGGTTCACGCCAGTCACCTCCATGCGCACGCCAAACTGGAACGGCTTCATGCACTGCAGTGGCTCATCAAACTCAAACGCAATGTCGTCGCCGGGCTCGTACTCGCCATCCGCGGGCTCCGGGAAGCCCAGCACCTGGGGCGGGGTGCGGTCCACGCTGCCAGCCACCGTGATCGAGTACTGCTCGTCAATGCCCTCGGGCACCTCGTTGATGGACGGCTGGCACTGCGCGCGGATGCGCAGCTCGTACTCGCCCTCTGCCAACGTGCCGACGTCCCACCACACGGTCACGTAGCCGTACTCGTTCTCCAGCCCGCTAATCTCCAGCGCGTCGCCGTTTGTGTCGCGCGCAAGCAACCACGTGTTGGACACGCGCGGCTTGTACTCAATCTGCACGCTCACCAGCCGGTCGTCCTCTGTCCACTTGCGCCTCGCAAAGTCCGGGTTGAACGCAACAATGCGCAGCTGCCGCGGCCGCATGGCTTGCTCGTCCGTGGCCTTGTTCACAACAAAGGTCTGGTCCTCGCCAATCTTGCCAACCAGCTGCACGGGCGAGCACGGCTGCAGGAACTCCACATCCAGCGTCACGCGCACCTGCGCCGCGGCCTCGTCGCTCAGGTAGCCCGTCTCCGCCAGCCGCTCCTGCTCGCACAGCGATGAGAACCACAGGTCAACCGGGTCATAGTTGTAGGCGGTAGGCCCACGCTTCATCACCAGCGTGATGTGCTTGGCGCCAGGCGCAAAGCTCACAAAGTCGATGGGGTCCACCAGCCACTGCCCATCGACGGTAATTTCGAGCCCATCCTGGTTCTGGCTGTTGACGGTGTACAGCTGCATGTATGTCGTGTAGTCGGCGTCGTTACGCAGCACAATCTCAAACACGGCCGGCTCATTCGGCAGCACGGGGGCCTCTGGGCGTCGAAGAATCGTCATGCCAGGCTGCTCCAGTGCAAGCGTGTTGAACTCGTGCGGGCACGACGACTGGCCAGATGTGGTGTGGAACACCAGCGTGTTGAAATCAGGGTGCTTGAACACTTGCACGTCAAACACGTCAAACGGGTCGGGATCGCCCAGCTGTGGTGGTGGTGTTGTTGTTGTGGTGGTGGTCATGTCAGTGTGGTGACGTGTGCCACGTGAGGGGTTTTCGTGAGCATGGTACATTTGCGGTTATGAGCGTTTGTTTGTTTGTTTGTGTGTATGTGTGTGCGTGTGTGTGTATGCGTGCGCGCGCGCGCGTGTGTGTGTGTGCGTGTGTGTGTGTGTTGTTCACAACAGCGTGTATGACACAGGTGGCAAGACTTTGCAGACTCGAGGATCAAGAGAACATATTATGCAAGGCAACAACAGCTTGCATGCATGCATGAGCTTCAAGCTTACCGTGAACTCAATGTGCTCATCCTTCTTGTATCCCTCTTGAACCTCATGCGCCGATGACGACCGGAAGAGACCAAGTGGCGTAATCTTGAAAGAGGCGCCAATACCTGCAATCGCAATTGCACATGTGTGAGCGATGAACGAGGGCCAATCAACCAATCCGTTCAAGAACTTGATCATCACAGCACAATGAAACCAATACGCAGACGCACACAATATTCGACGCACGGACGCGCATATATCAAACACGCACACGCACATGTAAACACATGCAAACACACACACACACACACACACACACACACACACACACACACACACACACACCTCCGGAAGACACGTCAAAGGAGACGGCGGCGCCGCCGCGGAACTCGTGCTTGCTCATGGTGCCGTCGGTGACAGACTTGTCCGTGCTTGCGTCGTACTCAAACGTGTATGTGGATCCACCGCCAGAGAACTTGATGGTGTTGATGGCCCGCAGGGCCGCCTTCTGGGCGTCTGTCACACCGGTGCCGTTCAGGCCAAGGGCCTTGTCAATCAGGTCGTGCGGGGCGAGCGCCACGCCCTTGTTCAGCTGGCCGTTGACGTTGTTCTTGCCCGAGAGCGTGAAGCTGTCTGTGGACCACAGCTGCTGCACCGTGTCAAGCATGCCCGTGGCCGCCATTTGACGCACATCGCGGTTGCGCTGCAAGTTCGCTTCCCACTCGTTGATGGCGTTCTGCAGCTCCGCCTTCTGCTCCGCGGTGTCGTTGTTGGCGTTGGCGTTGGCCAGCCGCGCGCGCAGATCCGGGATCTCCTTCGTCTCAATCTCGTACGCGGACAGCCAGGACATGACCTCGTCGTTTGCGCCTGGCGCCAGTGACCACATGGTCTCCGTTCGCAGCGTCACGTCGCACGTTGCAGCGTCAAACTCCACAATGTCCGTGTCCAGGAACATGACGTTGAGCGCCGGCACGAGGAACATGTCGGAGCGCTCGCCAGCCAGCACCGCCGCCTTGCTCGTCGACACGTCCAGCCCAAACGACCATACCTTGTCCGTCTCGTAGTTGTCGTTGCCGTCCTTGGTGCCAAAGAGGTTTGTCGTCTCCGCCATGATGGTGACTGGCGCCGTCTTTGCCGTTAGCAGGTTGATGCAGCTGGCCGCGCCCAGACCCACGCACAGGTCAAGCTCGGCGTCCACACGGAACGGCGTCACCTCCAGGCCAAGGAAGAACCCACCGTACGACTCGTACTCGTTGCTCTCGATGCGGTAGTTGGCGTACGTGTTGGCGTACGTGGCAGAGGACAGCCCACCAGGCGGGTCTTGCACCACCAGCAGAGGCTTGTAGCGCGGGAAGGGGATGGACGCGCCTGTGCCCTGCGCCAGCTCGCCCGTCACAATCACATACAGCGACTCTGTCACGGGGTCATATGGCTTGTTGTGCATGGTGGCGCGGAAGAGCTTGGTGTGCGGGTGGTCGCTGTCCAGCGCCCCCGGGTTGGTCTGCGGCATGCCTGTGAGCATGGTAAACTCTGCGCGCGAGTTTGACACAACCGTGCCGGACGCCGTGGATGTGGAGTCCATCACAACCGGCAGCTCGCAAGGATAGTAGCACCGCTTCAGCATGTTCAGCTGCGAGTTTGTCAGCCCAGGCATTGTCTTGTTCAGCACGGCCACCGTGTCCGGGGACTCGCCAAGCTGGTTCTCCACCTGGATGACGCCCGGCACAATGTCGCACATGCCGACGCCGGTGCCGTAGTCCTCCATGACCTTGATGGTCACCTGGCTCTGCGTGTTCTGCGTGATGACGCGGTAGGGGCGGCCATCAGAGTACGTGCATGTCTGCGACTGCTCGCCGGTGAAGCTCACCTCGAGCTTTGGCGGTGGGTGGTACTCAAACCGAGTCGTCTTCAGTGTCTGGTTCTTGTTCTCGGGGTCGCGCAGGTCCGCGTACAGCGCACGCGACTCGCCAAGGGCCGCCGAGAAGTACCGCGTAATCTCCTCCCGCACGTTGCCGGCGCGCACGAGTCGCTGGAAGCGCACGGTGATCAGCTGCGCGGGGAGCCTCCACTTGGTGATCCTGTCCACCACACTCTCCGTGCGCACCCACGTTGGGCAGCTGTCGTAGCGGAACTCGATGGTGGCGCGCCCGAGCGTGAGGTTGCACTTGCCGCCCGCCACGTCCACTGTTGCTGTGTCTGTCGTCACGTCCCGGAAGTCAACGCCCTCCCACAGATTGTTCTCGCCAATGTCGTAGTACGCCGTGCGCACGTCCTTGCCCGTGCTCGGGTCTGCGCGGATGAAGTAGCCGCTGGGCGCGTTGGGCGTGCCATCAACAAAGGGGACGCGCTCGAAGCTGTGCGATGAGTTGCCGAACGTGACGGAAACGCCCACGGAGGCGCCGAGCACTGCCTGCGCCGTGTAGAAGCCCTTGGCGTCGGTGATGGCGCAGCCAACAACGTAGTCGCCCTGGTTGCGGTCGTACAGGCACACCTCTGCGTCGCGCAGCGGGCACCCGTGCGGAAGGCCCGGGTGCTCTGTGCCCTGGATCGTCACGCGGCCAGAGAAGGGCATGGAAGTCGTATCGCGGATGTCAACCTCGTGGTCGAAGCGGAGGTGTTCAACAATGAGCGTGGTTTCTGTGCATGGCTTGCCGCCACAGGAGAAGGTGTGCTGGATATTGCCGGTCGACTTGAAGAAGCGAATGGTCATTGTCTCGCGCAGCGTCACAATCTGGTCCGTGAGCACGTGGATGTCGAAGAACCCGTCCGCGTTTGTGGTTCGGGTGCCGGTGACGCCGCCAATCTCAAACTCGATGGTGACGCCCTCGACAGGAAGGCGAACCTCGTTGGAAGCGATCTTCACCTGACCGCGAACGACGGCCTCCCACTGAACAGTTTGGATGGGGGGGGGGTGGGGAATGGAGGATGATGGGTGGTGGTGGTGGTGGTGGTGGAGTGTCAGTTATAAAACGGTGAGTACACGACACACCGCACGTTACCAGCGGTAACAGCAGCAGTAGCAGTGACAACATGGCACACAGGGGCGCCTCACAGACACGCCCACAATCCACGTGCACAACTAAGCCACATCTGTAAGACACGCACACACGCACACACGCACGCACACACACGCACACACACGCATTCGTAGACCCTTGACGCACTTGGATGGTGAGGCCTTGGCAAGTTTCCGCTGAGGCATACGAGGAGCTCGAGTAGCCAAGCGGGTTGGTGGCGACAACGCAGTACTGGCGTGTGGAGCCGGGCGCTGTGCCGATGTAGCGGCGAAAGTACGCTGGGAGAATGTTCTCGTGGTAGGTGGTGGGGTTGGTGGTTGTGCTGGTCATGCTGTTGGCAGTGGCGCAGAAGCCCTTTCCGACGTACACCATCTTGCAGTCGGCGTCAGCAGAGCACGCCTGCATGCAGTCGTCCTTGGACCCGCCAAACAGGTAGGAGCCTTGCACGTTTGTGCCAGACACCGTCACAATGTCGTACGAGTCCGCACTGGCGTCGTTGGCCGAGATGGCCGTGTAGCGAAGGAGTTTCAGCTGGTGGCACACGAGCTGGCCTGCGCTTGTTCGCTGCACAACAATGCCAACGCACCACTGCGACCGCTGCAAGCACAGCGCGGCGCATTCCTGGCGGCGGTCGATCTTCGTGGAAATGCCAGTGGAGTACTCAACCTCGTTGGCGACGGTGCTTGTGGTGGTGGCTGCGCCATTGCCCGCAGCCGTTGTTGTCGTTGTTGTTGTGGTCGTGGTGGCAATGCCCGGCGTTGTGAACACATCCTGGCCTGCGGTTGTGCTAGCTGTTGTCTCCGTGGACGTGGACGACGACGTGGATGTGGACGTCATTTCCGAAGACGATGTTGACGTCGATGTGGAGGACGTGGTGGATGTGGAGGAAGAAGTGCTTGTGGACGTGAAGTGTCCAGCTGCCAACGCCAAACAGGAAGCACACACAAGAATCAAAGTGTGTCCATGAGCACGCACCGACGAAAGCAAGTACGCAGTATGTTGCAGATAACAATGCTAGGTCGACTTTAACAACAACAACACCAACAACACCAACAACACCAACAACAACAACAACAACAACACCACCAACAACAACAACAATGCCGGCACAGCATCCAAAGCACAGGGCCAACAGATCAAGCAAGCGGCCTTACTTTCGAGGAGTTCCACGGGGTACGCGAAGCGGGTTGCCGTGGAATCAATGTCGGCCGGCACAAAGACGGTGCCCTCGGGAAGACCAAAGAAGCCCGTGCCTTCAACACCTGCGTAGACGTCGTCCTTTTGCACGGCAAGATCGTCAAACACGTCCGTGGGCTCGTGTTGGCCGCCGCACGCCTGCGACGAGGTGACGTCGTAGTTGGCAGACAGGCCAACGTTGTCGCGGAAGAAGGAAAAGCCAGACTCGCAGTAGCTCTGGTCCGTCCAAGAGAAGAGCACCTTGCCGTACGACTGCTCAAGGGCAAGTGCCGTGGGGGCGCCGGTTCGGTCGGAAGACATGCATCCGCAGTGCGTGGAGATGCTACCGTCGGTGTTCCCGCCTTGGTAGCGCGAGGCCGACACCAAGTTGTCGTTGTTGTCAAGGGGCGTGATGGTGATCTGCATATTGGTGATGTGAGAGATGTATCCAGGCGTTGTGCTGTGAGTGCTGCTGCATGTGTCCACAAGACTGGTCAGGCGAAGATGACACGGACAATAAAGCAGTCGCAGTCGCCACACCGCGTTCGTCACAACCTTCACAACACCAGAACCACGAAACCAGACCAACGAGACAGTAGACAGCAACATGGGAAGCGACGCGAACCTGAAAGCGGCGCCCGCTGTTGAGGTTGTTAAAGTCCAAACGAGTCAGAGGGCTGTTCATCCGCACGGGGTAGTTGGAAAGAACAGTGGGCTGGGTCAAGTCGAGAGGCCACTCTCCAATGGATACCTGGGTGATGCCGTTACACTTTGTTGTGAGGTACAATTCGAGAAACGGAAACAAACTCATGACGAAGACGCGCTTACACAAAATTGACGCGCGCTTGCACGTGCGCACAATTGATGTACATACACAACGCATCCCTCCACCACAGCACACACACACACACACACACACACACACACGCGCGCGCACACACACACACACACACACACACACACACACACACACACACACACACACACACCACACCTCATATTTCGGAAAGGAACTGGCGCCCGTAACAGTCAAGGTCAGTGAAGTCGCTGTTGAGCTCACTGATGCGGAGGGGCTGTTGGCTGCACGCATACACAAAAGGACAGGAAGAGAAAGCGTGTGAATGAGCATCGGAATGTGTGAGGCTTGTCCAGGAAGGATGCGTTGCACGAACTGTCGCTGCGACTCGCACCCCAAAAGGCACAACCAAACACGTTGTGTCAGGGTCTTCCGTCCAACACCTCCAACACGAACGCGCGCAAACGCGCGCAGGCATGCGCTGTGCAAAGAAACTCACCATCACACGCTTTGCCAGTGCCGTCGAGGCTGCCGTAAGGGCAATCGCAGTGGAATGAGCCAACATCGTTCACGCACACAGCCGGAGAAACGCAATCGTGGGCGCCCGTCAGGCACTCGTTGATGTCTGTGTTCAAGGTACGATTGAAAAGCGTGCGTAATGGGGTGTGAGGAACATCATGAGCTTTGCGTCTTGAGATGAACGACACTACACAACACCACGTACACGCACACTCAGACACACTCGCACCCACCCACACACACCCACCCACCCACACACACACACACACACACACACACACACACACACACACACACACACACACACACACACCACGTACACGCACACTCAGACACACTCGCACCCACACACACACACACAAATGAACATGCACGCGCGCCACGTACCATCGCATGTGCGTGCTGATCCGGTCCAGCTGCCAGAATACCCCGAGACGACGCATTCACGCGCACCGACTGTGCCGGACGCGCTTAGCTGAAACCCGGAATCGCACGACTGGTACGTGCACTTGTCGCCTGTGATTGTGACATATGAATCAATCAGGGAATGCGTGTGCGGCAGCAAGCACCCGGACAAGACTTGTTCGTGCGCAACCACACACGTACGCACACGCACACAACTGCATACGCTCACACTTGAGCATGACATGCAAGATATCGCCTGAGGTTGTGCGACGTACCAAAGTTGCCATTGCAGGTACCACTCAGAGTTCCATGTGCCAGCGAAAGAGCACCGCAGGTCACGCCTGGTATATTCGGTGACAAGCAAGCAACAACAAAGGCAGGTGCAAATGGGGTTGTGAGTTGCGTGACAGCAAGCCATCGCAGTTGTACAGAGAACACAGGTTGTCACAACTGCATTTACGTGCTGAACACATTCGTGCTTGCAGGCAAGGATGCAGGACGAGCTTGGACTCACGAGTGCACTCCGCCTTGCCAGAGGGCACATAGCCGTTGTTACGGTCGCAGTCAACCTGGTTTTGGTGGTGGTGGTGTGGTTGTTGTTGTTGTTGTTTAAGTTGTTGTTGTTGTTGTTGTTGTTGTTGTTGTTTAAGTTGTTGTTGTTGTTGTTGTTATTATTGTTGTTGTTGTTGTTGTTGTCGTCGTCGTCGTGATTGTTGAGAGAGAGAGAGAGACAGACAGACAGAGTATGTGTATGTGTATGTGTGCGGATAATTGAATTGAGATGCCGATGCGGCACGCACGACAACTGACAAACAAACAAAGAGCCGCTCGGCCTTGCTTGCAAGCAAAGTGTTGAGAGACACATAGCGCGACATGTGTGCAGGTGCTTACCTTGCAGGTGTACACCTGCCACCTGCGATCTTCCCTGCCATTGTCGTGAACACTGGCGAACCCTGTCAGGTGGAAAATGGGTGTGTGTGGTTTGGTGTACATGTGCAGTGGTTAGTTGTGTGGCGGTGTACATGTATGTCGGAGAGCCAACATGAGCAGAGGGTGACGTGAGATGCACACCATCACATAATGTGCGACGTGGAAGCCGTGGCATTGTTAACGACAATGGCATATCAAAGAATGGAGGACCGGCACAACAAGAGGACGGAGAAGACGAAACATTCGGGCGCGAAAAAGGAGGACGGAAAGAGAGGACCGAGGGTTGGTGCAGCGGTTGGACAGCCGTGCAGGTAGGTCAGGTTAAGACAGGGGAGAGGACGGGACATGAAGCAAAGAACAACAAAACAATGCAAGTGAGGCGGGTACGGAGCAAGCACAACGGAAACAACCCGCAGAAAAATAGGCACAAGCAAATTCAAACCACAGCGAAGGAAGGAAGGAAGCTGGTCTGCACACACACACACACACACACACACACACACACACACACACACACACGCACGCACGCACGCACGCACGCACGCACGCAAACACACACACGCACGCACGCACGCAAACACACACACGTACACGCAAACACACACACACACACAGTGAACGCGCCTGTGACGGCAAAGCCATCGGAAGGGGTGAAGGCAAGGGGCTGGTCCCAGTCGTTCAAGTACCCTGTCTTTGAACAACCAGACAGTGTGGCACCCTGGATGCGTGTGCACTCGAAAGACCAGCGCCTGTCTTCACGATGGTTGTCTGCAAGAAAGACGAAACACACAGATGGATGGGGTTGAAGTGTGCTGTTACAACGCGATGTAATGCAAGACAGGTGATGGGGAACATGATGCTGCGCTCAACGGGGGGGGGGGAGGGGTTAGGAGCAGCAGTTGGATGTGTGCAAACGGTGGAGTTCATTGCAGTTTCAGCAGCACAGCATGCGCTTCAGCACGGGAGCAAGTCATTGCTTTGCGCTTACCATGATAACTGTTGGCACCGCTCAGAAAGAAGTTGGTGTTGCACTGGTAGTCCAGGGGTGCGTCCCAGGCGTTGACATAGCCGGTAACCTCAGTGGTAAATGTTCCAGACTGCGGGGTACCATATTGCATGCACGAGAATGCCCATGACCGGTCCTCCTGTTTGATGGTGTGTGTGTTTGTGCGTGTGTTTGATGGTGTGTGTGTTTGTGTGTGTGTGTGTGTGTGTGCGTGTGTGTGTGTGTGTGTGTGTGTGTGTGTGTGTGTGTGTGTGTGTGTGTGTGTGTGTGTGTGTGTGTGTGTGTGTGTGTGAATGAGGAGATTGTTGCAAAAAGGAATTCAGGAGGTAAACGTGACAAGCTAGCCCGAGCATGCCTGCTGCATGTGAGTGCGAACAATCAGCAAACAGAGGAAACGTACGCGAGCATTGTCGTGGTAGCTGTACGTTGCGGCGAGATTCAACGAGGCACAGACACACGAAAGTGGGATGGCAGGTTGATGAGATCAAACACAGAACATCAATTATTGGAGCAGCGCATGGGATGCATGGTGAAGCACTCGTCAGAGGCGGAGCATGCTGCGCAACTCCACAACCAGCCCGCAACATGGCCTCCAACTACAAAACTAAGGACAATCGACGTACATGTGTACGTGCGCACAAGTGCATACACGCACACGCACACGCACACACGCGCGTACCTGTTGACGGCGTAGATTCCTTGGCCAGTGCCGCACCGAAAAGAAACTGCACTCAACCAACAGGGATGAAGCCAGCAGGAAACAAGTGTGTGTGTGTGAGTGTGTGTGTGTGTGAGTGTGTGTGTGTGTGTATGACCACTGCATCCACACACAGGCACAAGGTACCGGCACGCAGGCATAGGCATTCACACACAGGCACACAGGCACACACACACACACACACAGGCACACACACACACACACAGAGTCTGACGAACATGGACACACAAGTGCGCGGGCAGAAAACAAGCAGACTGACGGGGAGCGTCCAAGTTGTTGATGTATGAGATTGTTGCATTGACTTTAGCCGTGGTGAACAAGACAAGGACGGTCACGATGCCGGCCGCAGTGGCCGCGAACGACACCGCCATGGTGGCTGCGATCGCAGACGACAAAGCGACGATGGATCGGCTGCACCTGTGCTGATGCCTTCACCAGAAGACCAGAGGAACCAGAGCTCTGCGAGCGGGCAAGTATCGGCACAATCAGCGTCAAGACAAGAATCGAACGGATGAAGGGGTGCGGGATCGGCCACACAATGAGGCCAAACAACGCAGTGTGCGTGCGCTTATGTGCGTACGTGTGTGTATGTGTGTGTGTGCGTGCGTGTATGTATGTGTGTGTGTGTGCGCTTTGATCGGGTGGAGGATGTTGATGCGATCGAGCAGAAAAGAAAATGCCGCACCTGATTGTGTTGAGCGTGCGTGTGTCTGTGCTCGTGTCGGCGATCGCTTGTCTTTTTCTTTCTTGCTTGCTTGCTTGTTGTTGGGTGGTTGCCGTTTGGGTGGAGCGGTATTTGAACACTTGCTCACTCGTTGAGTGGTTGTTGTTGTGCACAACAACACCAAGGTGAGCCACCAAGGAGGAACGAGGCAAGCAAGAAGCACGAGAAGAGGAGTGGCAACAACGAATGTTTTGTGCCTCACACAAAGCAAGTGGAGCAAGCACGCACGCACAACAACAATAAGCGTTCCTCTTCCTTGTTGCCTTCCTCCTTCCCAACGTCGCAAACACGCATGCACGCCACAAAAAAAGGCGCACACAAGGCGCAGCTAAGTTGCGGTTGTTCGTTGTGTCCACCTTGGGTTGGGTTGCTTGCCGTTAGTGAGTTCCGTTTCGCAACTCAAGGAAGGTCCTGCCCAACATCTTCAAGGATATGGAGAATATTCATATATGATTTCCATCACTATTCTTGAACGCCACGACCTATCCAAGCGTTGTTCACTGATCTGCCCTCAACCGACTGGCTTCAAAGTGTCCCACTTCGGTATGCGTTCCTCCCTTCGTTTTGTTGTTGTTCCTCCACCGCAACGGTTGTTTGGCATCATTGATTGAGGCGGGTGCGTGTGCTTTGTGTGCTTTGTGCATGCGTGCGTGCGTGCGTGCTTTTGCTCCTCTCACGGTCTTGCTCCTTGCTTCTTGCTGCTGTCTGTGTGTGTGCTTTGCACCCAAAACAACAGCAAAACACCCAGCAAACCAAGCAACAAGCGGCAAGCAAGCGGCAAGCAAGCGCCGCGAATTCTTCTTCTCTTTGCGTGCCAAGACCGTGTGCGTTCATTTTCCACTCCACCTGGTTTTCGATCGCTTGTCAAACATCAACCAGCCACAAGCCTTCCAAGCCGGCCAATCAGCCACACATAACAACCTTTCCTTTCTCGCATTCCCCTGTCAAAGTCTGTTTTCGATCTCACACATCGACGCACATTCACCGATCCGCCCGTCTTGTCGGCGGCATCCTCCCCACACACACTGCAGCCAGCCATCCGCTCCGTGCGTGTGGTCTGTCTGTTTGTTGGAGTGCCCTTGTGCTCGGCCGCGATCGGCATTTGAGATCACCGGAATTCCCCTGATCCCGCCACACAATTAACCACGCGATCGAGCGATGGCGGGCCTTGTTGTGCAGCATCTCAGGCTCTTGCTGCTGGCATGCGCATGCCTGCTCGCTCTGGCTGGCGTGAGTGATGGCTATGTCAACTGCCTGGACTGCTACTTCCGCTATGTCACCCCATATGGCACCGGCATCACATCCATCAGCAGTGTCTTCAACAGCGTCTACGCGGTATGCTTGCAGCGTGTGTGTGTGTGTGTGTGTGTGCGTGTGTGCGTGTGTGCGTGTGTGTGTGTGTGTGTGCGTGTGTGTACGTGTGCGTGTGCGTGTGTGTGCTGACCGTGTTGGATGGGCGATGCCCCAGTGTGTGCGCGTGTGTGCCTTTGCTTCTCCTTGCATCCATGACACTCACATGTCCTTGCAACGCGTTTTTGTTGTTGTTTCATTCTGATACAGGATCGCCAATGGGCTTTCGGCTACGATCAGATTGGCGCCTTTCCAACCGCTGATGTTGTTGGCTCTGGTGCCTTCAACTACAACCAGTACACCCAGTCCATCGCGTACTACTGCCCAAATCAGTACTACCTCATCACAATGGAGTCAGCGGTGAACAACTACTACCAAGACCGCGTGTTCCACTGGGAGTGCCGCCGCTCAGCATACACGTACTTCCGTGGCTGCTATACCACTGGATACCTCAACGGCTTCACGGGAAGCTTCAACTACAACTCGGGCGGACGTCGGGTCATCACAGGTGTGCGTGCGTGTGTGTGTGTGTGTGTGTGTGTGTGTGTGTGTGTGTGTGTGTGTGTGTTTGGGGGGGGGTGAGGCGTGTTTGCGCCGGTGATGTGACATGGGCATGTGTCGGTGTCGCTGTGTGATATGTGACAGTGGGCAGGTGCTACCCTGCGCGGCTGTCCACGTACCTGTCTGGTGCGCCTGGTATCATCATCATCATCATCATCGTCATCATGCCCTCCTCACGTGCAGGCGTCAGGTCCTACCAGGACTCGACGTACATCACTGGCTACTCCTTGTTCGGAACCCCCTACTATCATTACTCCACATTTGACAGGCGGTGGCAGGTCGCTACCTGCGAGGTCAGGATTATGTATGCTTGCGTGTGTGTGTGTGTGTGTGTGTGTGTGTGTGTGTGTGTGTGTGTGTGTCTGCCTCTCTGTCTGTCTGTCTGTCTGTCTGTCTGTATGTATGTATGTATGTGTGTGCGTGCGTGCGTGTGTTTGAGTGCCTGCTGCCCACATATATGCTCGTACAATTGCTCTTCCTCATGTACGTGTCCTTGCACTGTCATCGCCTCCCCTGCCCCTCCTCCTCTTGCCCTTGCAGATTGTCTGCAACCTTGCATTTGACTATGTGAATTCTGGTCGCAGATGCATCAGTAAGTTACCTTATGCGTGTGTGTGTTCTCGCGTGCTTTCGAATGTTTGCGTGTGTACATGCATGCAACTGCACTTGGGTGTTGACCTGAAACCTTTACCAACGCTACATCTCCGTCAAACTCACTCATGACCTGACGTGCCTCTTTACCCTCACACACGCGCGAACACGCAGCGCTGACTCCAACCACGATCGACACCAGCTACACGTACAAGTTCAACATTCACGGGGGCTTCCATGCTGCTTGCCCGACGGGACAGGCGCTCGTGCGAATGGCGGCTTACTCGGCCAATGTGAGCCAGCACGCATGTTGTGTTATTGCTTCCGCGCACCACAGCTGTGTTTGTCACACGCATCAAGCGTGTTCCTTTCCTCGACATACCATTACCTTTCTGTTGCACCTTCCACACACACACACACACACACACACACACACACACACACACGCACACTCCCTCCCCCTCCACTGATGCAGGAGGATCGTCGTTGGCGCTTCCTGTGCGCCGACAACATTGGTGGTCCCACTGATGGCAATCTGGTCGCGTTTAGCCAGCCGACCTACAACCAGCTGCGTGCAGCCTTCTCCTACGACTGCCCACCAAACTCCTGTCAGTACTTGGGGGGATTATGCGCGCTGCTTGCTCCTCAAAGCTGCTGCTTTCTCGTGCTGGCAGTCACCTCGTTTCATTCACACGCCATTCTTAACACCGTCAAATGCCACGTGCATCACACACACACACACACACACACACACACACACACACACACACACACATTTCACACACACCTTTCACACGTCCACACACCTTTCACACGCACATAATCACAAACACAAACAAAAACACACAGACATTCGAGCTGTCAAGTCATCGTATGTGTTTGAAAGCCTGGACCGGGTGTACAGCTTCCAATGCCAGTACATCACAGGAGCGACTTTGGTGGACTGCGTTACAGTGGGCCCCAACGCGTTCGACGCCGACACGGGTTTTAATGCTGGAACTAACCGCGTGTTTGCAGGTGTGTCAGTGGTTGGTTTGCATTTCGTTTGTGTTCTGTGCGTGGTTTTGTTCCATCTGCTGTGAGCACGAGTGGGTTATGTGCTGGGGCACGTGCCCTTGTGCATGTGCGCGTGGCGACCTTCACCAATCGGACACAAACGCGCCCCCGCTGTCAGTCGTTGTCCTCTGGTGATGCAATTCGCTGACGCTTAGTTCCTTTCCACTTTTTTGGATCATAGGCATTTCTACCACATTCGGCGCAAGCCAGAACGATCGCGCTTTCACCTACAAACTCTGCCGCGTGAGCATCGTACCGTGGGACTGTGTATTGCCTGCGTTCATGTGTGGTTATGTCTCCTCGTGCATGTGTGCGTGTGCGCGTGTGCACTCTAAAACTGCATTGCATTTGACTGAATCGACAATTTCTGTCTCACCTGTCTCCGTCTTTCCTCTTCAGGTGCAATGTGACGACGGCTTCTTCTACGACGGCGCACGCGGCTGCATTCGTGAGAAACATATCACTTTATTGCCAGTGTCGACAAGCCCTGGGTCATCTGCTTGCAACCTCGTTTTATGCATGCACACACATACACGCACACAGATGCTCATCCAAAACCAAACGAACCCTTACCTCTCCTCCCCGCCCCCCCCCCCCAACTCCTTCGATGCACCAACAGCGCTCATCTGTCCCGAGATTTCCGTTCAATTTGGCACCGTTTCCGGTACTTGCTACGGCCGTGAAGGTACGCGTGAAGAAGGAGAATGTGTACATGCGTGTGCGTGAGTGCATGCGTTTGCACGTGTGTATTGTCATCTTGATGTCACGACTTCCCCTTGGGACAATTGGCATGTGCACGTGCGCATGCACGCGTGGACGGCCCAGTCTAATGTTGTGCTGACCTCCTTACGTCCGCCGCCTTACTGCCATGCATTCATCCACCGCAGGCGATCAGTGCTCCTTTGTGAGCTGCGACACCGGTTACCGTCAGATTGGCGACACCACCGCAATCACGTGCAACCCAGACGGATCTTGGAGTGGATCCCTTCCTGTTTGCGAGCGTACGTAACTCCTTTGCGCAGTTCTGGTCCCATGTGTTTTGTGCACTCGTCCACCTGGTGTGTGTGTGTGTGTGTGTGTGTGTGTGTGTGTGTGTGTGTGTGTGTGTGTGTGTGTGTGTGTGTGTGCGTGCGTGCGTGCGTGCGTGCGTGCGTGGGTGTGGGTGGGTGTCAGGTTTTTGCAGCAGTCATCCCTGCGCCCTGATGGAGCACTTGTGCAAGTTCAGCCCTGTTCTTGACGCGTTCTCACAAAGTTGATGCCCTCGGTATTGTCGATGTTGTAGGCATTCGGTGCCCTGCCCTGTCAGTGGTCAATGGGCAGGTGGCTGGCCAGTGCGACGGCCTCTCAGGTAAGCGCAACCAATACCACGCATCACGCATGTTTTGCGATGGAGACCAGTTTGAAACAACCATAATGTGATCGATTCGATACAACTTACGAGTGCAACGCCCACCACCAAACTTCACCCTGCCCTACTATGCTCGTTTAGTTGGTGACACGTGCACGCTCGATGCGTGCTCGAGCGGCTACTGGCCATCCAACAGCGGCACAACGACCGTCACGTGCACAGAGGTCGATGGGGAGCTCATGTGGAGCGGCGATCTTCCAACATGCGAAGGTCATTTGCTTGCGTGTTTGCTTGCGTGTTTGCATTGTGCTGAACCCCGTCGTGCATCTCAAGGTCCAATTGTCTGTCTGTCTGTCTGTCTGCGCCCTTTCAATTCACTCATGCTGACATTGTGCTGTGTGTACACACGATGACAGCCGTCAAGTGCCCGCCTCTGAAGCTCAACCATGGCAGCGTTGGCGGCCAATGTTCTGGGAACCTTGGTAAGTTGATGGTGCAAACAGGCAGGCAGGTGCGCATGCGAGCATCGCCAACGGCTGCTTCAATTGCTGCTTGTGACTGCTCTGCTGGGCCCGACCTGGGTGGCCTCTCTGTCCTGCGTTCCCTGGTACTCATGCGCACGCACGCTGTTTCTCTCCCTCCCCGCCCCTTGTCTCTTGCTCCTCTTCGTTGTGTTCAGGTGACACGTGCTATTACAACGGCTGTGACAACGGCTTTCAAATCGCCATTGGAGGCTTGAATTTGCGCACGTGCCAGCAAGACGGCGCGACTGGTGTTTGGAGCGGACAGCAAGATCGCTGCGATGGTGAGCAGCAATTAACTCCACCCATGCTTGCCCCTGCGTTCTTCCCTGCGGAATGTCTCGTGCGTTGCGTTTTCCTCTCTTTGCTTGTTCGCCCGCTTGCCCACTTGCTTGCTTGCCCACTTGCTTGCTTGCATGCAGTGCATGCATGAGTGCGCTCACGGCCTCGCGTCATCTGCGTTGCTCGTGCCGGTGGTTGCCCTGACAGCTCGCCTCTCCGCGACCGCTCAGACGAGGCCGTTTTCGCTCATGTGCGACAGTGGCCAGGGCGTGGTTGGCCTTTATTCGGAGTATGGCAGTGGATACGGTAAGGACACGTGCTGATCCTCTTGATCTGCATGGACGCAGCTGTGTTTTCTCATTTGACGACTTAACTTCGACGCTGTCATGCGCTCTGGTTCTGCTCACTGCAGCCTCCTGAACTGCTTGCTACGCTATCACTCTCCACCTCCCAAGCACACATCCATACCTTCACAACAACTACCTTCACAACAATCATACCCACCACCACCACCACTCACCTGTGTACTGGCATGCCATTGTGTTGATTCGTACCCAGATCGTGTGAACTGGGACATCATTTGCAGTGATATTGGCAGCAACGACTCCCCCCGTCTGTGGAGCAAACACGAGGATGTCCATCAGCTCCAAGAGGACTTCTCCTTCACATGCCCCGACGGCACCTCATGTGCGCGCACGTGCTGTATGCTGCGTGCAATGTAACACGTGCAAGCATGCAAGTGTACGGACGCATGCTGTTCGGTGCCGCTTCCGTGGTGCTTTGGCCTTTTGCACTCACCAACTCGACATCATGCTGCCTCAACCACTTTCAGACCTGGCTGGAATGACGACAACGTACGATGCCACCGCACGGGATCGGCTGTGGGAGTTTCGGTGCGCCACCGTGTTTGGTGCAGAGCTGGTCAACTGCCAGCAGCGCACCCTCTACTCGTATGGCGTGCAGTTCAGAGCACCAGATGGACACGTCGTCGTTGGTAGGTAGTGGTGAGCGGATGTGTGTGCAGGAGCTTGTTTGTGTGTGCGTGCGTGTGTGTGTGTGTGTGTGTGTGTGTGTGTGTGTGTGTGTGTGTGTGTGTGTGTGTGTGCATGCTTTGAAGTGGTTGCTACACATTTACGACGCACCATTGACATAGACCCTGTTCTCGTCCACTTTTTGTTGACGTACAGGTGTGACCTCCACTTATTTCGCCACGTACCGCAAGCGCACCTTCCAGTATCGCACGTGTGAGGTTCGTCCGCTGTGATCCGTGCAGTGCATGCAACCAAACACAAGCACACCTCCTTCACCTCCAACAACAACAACAACAACAACTTAAACAACAACTTAAACAACACCCTTTGTCATCAAGCATTTTCATTCAGATCACTCACCATCGTCATCTCTTTTCTCGGATGTAGGTGCGCTGTCGCGCAAAGGACGAGTACTTCAGCACAGGCGGCGGAGAATGCCAGCGTGAGTAGTGTTGTCCATGTGGCCTTATTGTCCTTGACATGTGACAATAAACTCTCTGCTGTGGGACTGTCGTTGCTTGCCGTTTGATCTCAATCGTCACCACGCGACAGGCTGTGACACTTGCAATCTCACGTCCACACGTTACTTTGCTTGGAAATGCTTTCTGTGTCTTGTGTGTAGGCGTTGGCTGCGGCCAACTGACCATTGACAATGGCCAGGTCGCCGGAACATGCGACGGCAACATCGGTGCGCTGTTGTGTGTGTGCGTGTGCGTGTTTGTCCTTGTGATCATTTTGCGATCACTTGTGTCACACCTGTACCCTTTCACTTGTATGCACGCGTGAACACTTCACACGTTTTGATCACGGAGAACAGTCAGTTTGAGTGCTTCCTCACGCGTTCCGCCACAACGTATCACCTGTATCACCACTTCTGTCTCTGCCAGGCGATCAGTGCGAGTACTTGCAGTGTGATGCCGGCTATCAGCTGTCCAGGGAAGGCAGTGCTCAACGCGAGTGCAAGATCATCGATGGCTCCGCCACTTGGACTGGTGCCGCAAAGACTTGCCTGCGTAAGTCTTCAGAACGTGCACTTGCCGACCGTTTTTCTTCGCAGAACATCGTGCTCGCTTCTGCAGTAGAATTGCAGGAAGGCCTAACTCCGCACAACACGTGCGAACGCCATCATCAACACACGCACGCAAGACCAATGCACGCATTCTCCAATGTCTCTGCGTGTCTGCCGCTCTCACATCTACACGCATACATGCGCATTATTTTGGCAACAGTCTCGACGTCGACTACGCCTGCAGCTGTGACAGTGGACGCTTGCAGCGTCTATAACACTGCGGCCAACCCGGCCACTTGCCGGTCCCAGTGCAAGTACCTGAAGCAGGGCGACGCCACCTTCTCCAAGACTTACGGCAGCTGCTCAAACGTGCGTTGTTGATCACTGCGCTGTTCTTTTGGGTGTTTCTGACAACACATGCATGTATGTGCGTGTATGTGTGGGTTGAATGGGGTCGTGGCGCTGGATCGCTCGCTTTCCAAGCAGCAAGAAGGCAATTGCTTCCACTTCCTTCTCGGCTCACATTCAACACGCGAACCCGTGCATGCGTGCGTCCTTTACTCCTAGGTGTGCTCATGTGGATGCGCTAAGCGCTTCAAGTTGACAAAGGATGCAGCTCGATGCTCTGCCCACTGCGCTGACCAAGGCCTCACTGGCGTCTACCGCGACATGCACCTCGGGTGCCGCAAGGTGCGCCTGTAGCAAGGAGTGCAATACTGGCTGGGTCGTGTCTACATTTGCACACACACACTCTCACAGTGTCTCTATGTTCTCGCTCGTACGTATGCAAACTCACACACGCACGCACTCGCACGCATCACTCACACACACACACACATACACACACGCATCACACACACACACACACACACACACACACACACACACACACACACACACACACACACACACACAAAACACACATCACATACACGCGACAGGTGTGCCTGTGCGTGGATGGGGACGCCCCGACGACGCCGGCAAGCGGCCCGCTGACGCAACCGCCACCCGACACGAGCGCCTTCAACTTCCCCTACGGCGACTACAACTACGAGCTCACCTTCACGGGTGTTGTCGGAAACAACAACGACCCTCGCGCCTTCTCCACCGAGTTTGACTTTGGAGCATCCATTGCCAACCTGGAGGCCGAATCCATGCTGCAATGCCTGCGGTACTGCAGCGCCGACACAAACTGCAAGGGGCTCGTCGTGGTTGTCGTCAACAGCATGCTGCGCTGTCAGCTGCTGAAAAACACGGGCACAGAGACAGGTGTTGTCACAGACGCCCCGTCCGTGTCGCTCACGCGCCTGGCGAGCTCAACGACAAGCGCAACCACAACCACGCCCGCCATCACTAAGGCCATCCAGACGGTTGTTGGCAACGGCGGCACGACGTGGGACTCGTCGGCAACCCTGCTCAACACGGGTCTCAACCAACCCGACTGTGTCACCTTTGACGGCGAGCACGAGATGCTGGTGACGATGGTCTCTGACCACCGCGTCATCCGCGTGAATTTGCGCACGCGCACGTCATCCCTGGTCGCCGGCACGGGCGAGATGGGTGCGAGCGGCGTTGGCGGCGCTGCCACGAGCGCACAGCTGAACCGCCCCCGCTGCGCCATTGCCGATATTTTCGGCAACGTGTACATCACGGAGGAAGGCAACAATCGTGTGTCCAAGGTGGACGTTGCGACGAAGAAGCTGAGCGTCGTGGTAGGCACGACGGGCGCTGCTGGTCACCGCGGGATGGGCGGCACAGCAACCGCTGCCCGCATCAACGCCCCGCAGTCGATGGCCTGGATGGACAACGGCAACCTGCTCTTCTCGGACGAGGAGAACCACGTCGTGTACATGTACAGCCCCATCACAACCCTGATCACCGTGGTGGCTGGTACGCCCGGCGCTGCTGGCGACGACGGCGACGATGGCTTGGCCGTGAGCTCCAAGCTCAATGCCCCCGCTGGCATTGCCTTTGCCGACAACACGCTGTACATCGCAGACAGCGGCAACCACCGCGTCCGCGCCGTGGACATGCGCACTGGCGTGATCACAGCACTGGCCGGCACGGGCGTTGCGGGCTTCCGCGGTGATGGCGGTGCACCCATGGCTGCTCGCCTCAACACCCCACGCGGCATCGCTGCCATGCCAGCAGGCGAGATTGCCATTGCCGACACGGGCAACAGCCGCATTCGCACGCTCAACGTCGGCGGCCAGGGTGCTGGCGTCATTGAGACGGTGGCCGGCACGGGTGCGCGCGGCTTTAGCGGCGATGGCGGTGTTGCCACCGAGGCCAACCTCAACTTCCCAACAGGCATCACATTCTCCCCGAGCACCAACAACATTGTCTTTGTTGACCGCCGCAACCGTCGCGTGCGCCAGATTTGGTCATAAGCGCCGGCATCACGCCCGACTGCTGCTGCTGTTGTTGGCGTTGTTGTTGCCACTGCCACTACTGTGTTGCTGCTGGTGCCTTCCTTTTTCACCTTGGATGTTGTGTGTTTGTGTTACACCTCTGTTTGCGACGGAGTGTTCCCTTTGCTCCTTTTGCTCTTTGTTTGCCCGATGCATGTGCGAATGGGCAAGCGACGTTCCTCATCACTTTGCCGACTGCTTTGACGTTGAGTTGCACACGCGCACGTGCCATTGTCACTGTCCGCCTTGTTGTTTTCACTGTCCTGTTCCAGCGCACTCTTGACTGACTTTCATCACGCTGCCCTTGCCACACTCGTTCCGCTTCTTTTCCCATCTGTTTTCTGCTTGAGTGCTGCTTCACCTCCCCGATACAAACCGTGTTGAACAACGACTTCATTCTATGAAAGGGATTCAAAACAGCGTCGAAGCAACTCTAAGCAAGCGAGACGAACGATAGGAGCGACGGCAGGACGCGAAGACAACAGCAGGACACGGCAAGCAAAACGGCAGAAAAACAGCAGCCACACATTCGAACAACAACATTGCGCAAGCGCACACAACTGCGACACAGTCGCCTCCCTTGACGTCACACACGCACACGTATGACGGACATCGAAACAACTCCCCAGACGGCGAATGAATAAGCAGATATCACATTGAACGTACAAGTGGCAACTGTGACAGCATGGCAGTGTACATCACAACAAGCAAATCCAACACAACGAATGATGCAACGAAATTCGGCACACACACACACACACACCACACAAGCGTCACAACTGCTCGTCAAAGACGCGTGCGTTCTGGTGGATATTGGGTGTGCGCTGCGCGTCGCCATAAATCAGCTGTGTCTGCTGCTGCTGTTGTTGCTGCTGCTGTTGATACATTGCGTAGGCTTGCTGGCTCGGCACAGCCACGTACTGAACAGGCACCCCTGCCTGCTGGTGATAGCCTGGGTGGTGGTGGTGCTGCTGCTGCTGAGCATACTGCACATACTGCGTGTGCCCCTGAGCATAGGCCACGGGCTGCGGCTGCGGCTGCGGCTGCGCGTGCATGTGGCCTTGCGGGGTGGCCACTTGCATGACCTGGTGTGGTGGACCCATGACGACACTGCCCTGTGAGGCTTGGGAAGCACCAGATGCATAGCCTGAGCGCACAGCCATCACGGGGTGGCCCTGCTGCGTGTACATGCCGCCAGCGTACACGACGGGCGACTGCTGGGGATGATGACCAGGGTGCTGTTGCTGCTGCTGCTGCTGGTGGGGTGTGGGCTGCTGGGCAGAGGAGGAAGCAGACCCCATGTACGCACCATGCGAGTACCCGCCACCGCCGTACACGTGGCCAGAGTACTGCACCACTTGCTGGTGGTGCTGCGGGTGCGGCAGCGGCATCTGATACGCACCGCCCTGGCCGCCGTACGGGACGTGGTGCATAAACCGCTGGCCAGGCGCAGCCGGGACGTGCCGCATGTACCGCTGCTGCTGCTGATGCTGGGACACGGCCACATATGGGATGGGGTGCATCTGGGTGTGCGGGCGTGCCTGTGGGGCAGCCACCTTCACACGCTGTTGCTGCGAGGCTGCGCCCTGTGTGCCCGATGCTGCTGAGGATCCGGGTGGTTGGATTGCCCCGTTGTTGGTGCCGCCGCCGCTGCCGTGCTGGTGGCCCTCCGCGTGCTGGATGTGGGACTGCGACACCACACCCTTGATCAGCACCTGCTCGCTCTGGTTGCTGCGGATGCTCATGCTCGACTCTGGCCGGCTGCTGTCCACGTAGTACACGCTGGAGCCGCGTGACGACTCTGCAGACGACTCATCGCCGGCTGCGGACACCGCCGACGAACGCGCGCTCTCTTCTCCACGCGACGAGCGCTGCCGCCGCTCCTCCCGCGCACGAACTTGTGCCTGCAAGCACCGTTCGAGCGGTGTTGTGTGTTGTGTGTTGTGTGTTGTGTGTGTTGTATGTGTGTGCGTGTGTGTGTTGTGTGCATGTGTTGTGTGTGTGTGTGTGTGTGTGTTTTGTGTGTGTGTTTGTGTGTTGAATGAGCGGGGCAGAGAGCAAGCGCCGATGCACAAAGTGCGCCGCACAGGGAAACCCAAACAAGAAGACCAAGGCAGCCACAGCGCTGGGCACCTGTTGTTGCGCTTCCTGGAATGCAAGGCGACGAGCTTTTCTCTGCTGCAACTTCTGCATTCGGCAAGCACACATGCACGTAACATGAGACAGAGTATCAATGGTTGATGCACGTGTGTGTGAGAGATTGTTTGTGCATGTGTGTACACTTTCACATGCGTGTGGATGTCTACGCGTGTGTGTCCATGCGTGTGTGTTTGTGTGTGAATGTTTGTGTGTATGTGTTTGTGTGTGAATGTTTGTGTTTGTGTGTGTGTGTGTGTATATGTGTGTGTGTGTGTGTATGTGTGTGTGCTCGTCTCTTCATGCGTGCAAGGGCACGCACCAGCTGTTCCGCCAGGTTCTTCACAAAGTCGATTCGAATTGGCCGCTCAGCGCGCTTTGCATTTGGGAACGGCATCTGCAGCCCAGAGGGGTGGAGGGATGGAGGCAATTCAAGGACAAAGGCATCAGTCCATGACATGGCACTGTCGCAGTCACATGCACACACGCGTGCACACGCGTATGTGCGCTTAGGTGTGCAACACACATAAACAAAACACACACACGCGCACAACACACGCACACGCGCACACACAACACACTCACGGTGATGGTGCTGTTGTCTGTCTCCACGATGAGCGGCGCCTCCTGGGGAAGACGCGGCCGCTGAAACGTCGTGATGCGGAATGTGCGGAAGCTCTCGTTCACGTGTCCTGAATACGGCAGCGTTGAAGCAAGGATGGTAAACGGTGGTGAGAAGGGATGGTTGGCGATTGGGAAAAAAATAGCAAGTGGGGCTTCCGCTGACATTGCACGATTGAAGCAGAGTCGCACAGATGCGCTCACGCACATATACACGCAACCCACACACGCGCATACACGTACACACATGCACACACACACACACACACACTCTCTCTCTCTCTCTCTCCCCCCATCCCTCCATCCCT